GGATTACCAGTGTATTAGTGATTCAAGTTTAATCTTTGGCAATTTAGTCTGAAGTGTTTGGAATTAAACGTTCAGCTTTTTGTTACAATATCATTCACGTAATTCATTGAATTTTGAGCTCCTACCAACTACCGCCACATCCAATTCTCAGCTAGAATGAACATTTGCTAATACAAACTAAAGTTAGTAACTTATTAGCATACATACGGGAGATATACTTGCTGACAATGTTTCTGTGTGCTGCTCCTGGCCATTATATGCATCCACAGTTCCACACAATTCAAGTTTATATTCTGGATGGATGTTGATCCACCAACCTGATAGTAATGGACTCGATGTGTATTCGTGCTTTATTACATTAACATATGCAAGTTGATTCTTGCGTACCTGCTGTCTGAACCTGTCTAAGTGTTGCCTGTTGCAAAAATCTTCCTTTGCTGCAAATATTGCCATTGCCCTCCCCATTCTCCAGGTAAATATCTAGGTCGAGAATACTAAGGTCTCGGGTGCATGTTTCAAGGCTGATAGCAGCATCTTGCTTCTTATTTTCTAGGGTCAGGCTGAGTCAATGCTATTTGTGATCCATATGGCGGGTTTCAGCTTATCAACTTGACAGATGTATGCAGTCACATCCCCATTTCCTCATTCTCTAATTATTTGGACCAGTTTCTAAACTTCTGATCGACTAATTTATTGCATTACATAGTGTTGAGGATGCTCAAGGATTAGAAGATAAACTGTTTATTATTGCAAGTGTATCTTATCTATGAAGCTAATATACCTTTTATTTTCTTACATAGTGTCGCAACCAATCCCGCTGGCAACCGCTAGCACCCTCCCTGACACCCACACAACAAGGTAAGTTGCGGCCTCCTCTGCCAGTTATGACCCCTCCTCTCTCTTTATCGTGATGTTGTTAGATTGATTCATCATGATATGACATTTTAACTAAGGATTAGACAACAATTATTCTTCTATATGGATTTTTTGGTGTAACTACAATATTTTACAAGATGAATCATTCTTGCATAGTAATCTCAGGGCATATTTGTATTTAGATAAGTGTGTGTGTCCAGTTAATAGTAAAATTTGGTGTTTTTCTGTTCCTCTTTCTGCAGTTTTCTTGCTGCATTGGTCATGATTTCTGTTGCTTTCTAACATTTCAGTTTACAAAACTATTACACAAGTATGTATATGCCCCATGTCCCATGGACATACATGGAACTTCCCATCTATATAGCAAAATCTATGTGTTTATGTCATTTTCAATCTTGACATAAAGAATGCTCAATACATGATCAAAATATTTTTATGAATTAGTGAATTAATAAGCTAGACTATAAGGTGCTCATCTGAATTGCTTGATCGGTTTCGGTAAACTTCAAAATAAGAGTTGACAACAAATTATGTCCATGTGTCGTAGAACACTTATTTTGCATGAATAACCTTTAGTTTATCATGAGTTCTCATGATAGTGCCAACTCCAGTTTCTCCAATTTTTTAGCCAATCAGGAAGTAATTATATATTAGGTTGCACTGATCATTGACTTGTCGAGGATGAAGTGGGAGGCGTCATCTGCCCAAGCCATCAGGTAGTCCTATGCTTAGGTTTTTTTCCTTGGCATTGGTACTAATTATGATGATCTCAGTGCCGACAAGCAGTTATTGGGCTCTTCCCTCTGTTCGAATGATAATTTCTTGATTTGAAGTTTAGTAGTGCCACGGGCAGCTGACGTGACCTTCATGTCCATAACGGGGGTGATATAGTCAATGGCTCTTTTCACTTGTTCATTTCATAATAGCTATGGAGTAATGTGGTGCACACTATACTCAAATAGATTGGAAATTACTTGTAATCTACATTAACATATTGCTTCAGTGATTATCAGTGCGTGCTTTGCCATGCCAGATCTCTCTACGCCGATGCTTGGTGTAGTGTAGCCCAAGGTGGAAGCGACTACTCACACATCTCTCTACGCTTATTCACATGAAATGTTATTAATAGTTGATTTTCCTATTGCCATCTATTATTTGTTGTTTGTTTGTAGATACCAATACGATGCGCCAATTGTAGTTGTTGAGAGTGAGTGCAATACTGATATACTATGATGTTGAAGAGGATATGTATCTAAAATGTTTACAAGATAAATGAAAACCATTATTTTTCATGTGATGTTGATGTATGGGGTAGGCACAAATGGAAACTTTGCTAAATCTGGATTTTTTAGATGGTTTAATCTGATTTATAATACTGTTCTTGAGCCAAATAAAGTAAATGATCTTTTTACATAGCTTCAGTTCTACTTGATGAATTTATGTTAGTTGAGAAGCGCATTGAATAGGATATATGACATTAGAATGTTGCTACAAAGTTTTCCTATAAAGTTATCATATTAGATATGATGAAGTAACCAATGTGCATACAAATATCGATCCACATTTATGATTCATTATCCTTGTGTGAAAATTCATCCATCTATACTTCTTTAAAAGGGGAAACAAATGTTGTGATACATTTGGTTGCATTGAAATGCTAAAATTCGAGAGCTCATATATTCGCATGAGAAAGTAGTGGGTAAGATGCCTAAAATGCTGACGTGATACATGTAAGAGAGAAATCCTATGATTTAGGCAAGTTTGTGAAGTGGTACATCTCATCAAGATTAAACTTGCAAGTCCATGGATATAATTTCAAATCATTGCACATGTAGAATTACAAGTAGCTATGTGTAGATTGAAACTATGTATTAAAATGAGACACCCCACGCTACTACTGAGTGACTGCCGCACCACCCACCACCAGATCCACTCCCACCCCACCAAACTCATCGTGAACACCCCACCCCTTGGTCGAACTCCTCTCCCCCACGATCTGGTCGCTGCCACTACCACCCACGCTGGCAACCCACGCGTCCCTCTCCCCCGATTCTCGATTCATCCTCGCGGATCAGATCTGGATGACTGACTGACTGACGGACCGGTTTCTTGTCCTCGTGATGGATGTTGCTTTGCAGGTGGCTAGGGTCTCCGCCTTCAGCGTCGGCATCCTCTACGGCTCTGTCAAGCTCGGCATCCTCAAGGTAATCCCGCCCCCACCCGCGCAGCATTCCTTCCTCTGTGGTGCCGCGTGATCGATGCGATTCTGGTAGCGTCAGTGTTGGCCGGTGGCCCCATTGGTTGCTAGGGTTAGGAGGGTTCGGTCCTAGGGCTGGATCGATTGGATTGGATGAACTACGTGTCTATTGTTTTTTATCGCAGTTCAGTATCTATTGCTACTCCTTAGCAATTAGTGCTCCACTTGCTTGTCTCTTCGTTGGCCGTAACTACATTTAGATGTTTCTTAATGTGATACTTTTGCATTTATGTTTATTTCTGTAGATTCAATGGATTTTACTCATTTTTCTTTCTTTCTATTTTACGGTTTCTGCAGAAAATTCCAAAGGCCGTAGTGTATCCAAGAAAAAAAATCAGTGGTATGTGACTCTACCATGTACTACTTAAATTAGTTCGGATGTTCACCTACGTCAGTTGTATTGATTCATCTGCTTTTTGTTACTGCCAATCACACGAACAAACAAAGATGACATTCCGTTTATGTAAAATTAGCAGTATGAACTAGTAAGAGCCTTTTGCTGAACTGAAGATGCTATTTGCTTCACTTTTTTGTCGGTTAAACTGTCCCAGATTATATAAATTTAGTAAGAACTAGTAAGAGTTAAATCAACTGTATGGGCAGCATTAACATAGGTGTTCCTCTGTCGTGCTGCTACGTACTCGGTATTCCGGCCTTCTCCACTGATCAGTGAGCTCGGCCACCGAATGCAGCTCATGTGCTGTGTTGCTGTTCTAGACAAAGGTTTTCTCTCAATTTTTGTACATCTACATCCCCTCCTATGATGCTAGCTTAAGCAGCGTGTTGAGTTATTTCGGAATCTTTTATGCACTTTTCTGTTGAGTGCCTTTGTTTTAAACTATGAGATATGCCAATGTTTAATTCTGAAATCTAAATGCAATCTTATGTTGTTCCACCGTGATTAATTTTCAAATGTGTATATCTAATGTTTTTACTGCAGTTTTAAGCTTCGCTGACATCTAACTCTGTGTAGTTAATTTTTGTTATTTGTCTTTGAACCTATAAAAATGGGTGATCATTAGACTTGTCATTTCCTACATGTGTGTCCTGAACACGTCTAAAGTTTTTATAAGAAATGCAGTTCTGAGCTCGAGCATTCGTAGGATGACTAGACACGTACTACATATGACTTCAGATGTATATGTATGCAATTTCACCCTTTGCTAAAATACATCCTATACAATGTCAGATTTTGTGAAGCCACGATGAGCTAGGGGTTGCACCGCAGGAGCATAGCGTGTACAAGTACTAAACATTGAAGATTGCATTGCATCTCATCAGTATGCCTTACTTGCAATCTTTGAAGCCTATTAAATTCGGAAGTGTTATTTTTTCCTGTACAAGTTTGTTTGTGTCAAGTACTGCTAATTTATGTTTTTGAGGGGTGTTCATATACTTCCTCGGCAACATGGGAAGCTTTCACATTTGGTCTAGTTGTCTCTATGGGTTAGCGACTTAGCATGCATGTTATAATCAGCTTTCACATTTGCTTCTCTGACAAGTAAGGTCTGTTTTCATTCATTGGTACTCCCTCCATTCGGAATTACTTGTCGCGGAAATGGATGTATCTAGATGTATTTTAGTTCTAGATACATCCATTTTCGAGACAAGTAATTTCGAACGGAGGGAGTAGAAGGTAGCGACAGAGTGGGAAGCTTTGTGCAGAGATCTTACCTCAAGGTTATCACGGATGCGCACAATATGACACGGAATTGGCAAAAAATAGGGAGCTACAATATGAACTTTCAAAGGTTGGTTCCATTTTCTGTATATGTCCTTGTACACTCCTATATTCTCCCATGATTGAAGTCTGCAATGCTTACAGGACAATCTTTGTTTGTAGGTTAAGACCTCACTGACTGCTTCAATGAAGAGATTTGAAGAGTTGCAAAAGGTAATTTTGGGGCAAATTTCCATTGCTGCAAGATAATGAGATGTTGAAGCGGCAAACTGAATCCTTGACACCGAAGTGCAGTTGCGGCAGATTATCTATATTTTCCCTTTTTCATTTTTCTTATTATTGGAGTGAGAACAGGTCGAATGAGGAATACTGTGATAGTAGATACAACAAATGTAGTAAAAAGAAACTTATGTTTGCAATTGTTAATGACATACATACTTGCATTTTTTTTTTTGAAGTGGTCATTTGTGAGTAGCAATGCATAATGAAGGTTTTTGGCTCATTTATGGACTGCCTGATCCGGAGGCTTTCGGGGCAAGCGTGCTCTAAGAACTCCGACCAGACGGACGGCTGCACCTCCAGCTCCAACAACGCCTACATGGAGGAGGGCCACAGCCGCGCCGACAACCATAAGAGGAAGGGGTCGTCGAGGAAATGGTGATTTCCTCCTCCCTTCCCCATTTTATTTATGTTTTATCTATGTTTTAAGTAGTTTGTAGTATGGATTTGTACTGTCCGCCGAGGAACTCCGATGAACTATGGTCCTTTTGTCCGGCGATGAAATGGTGATCCGATGAACTACGTGTTGATCGTGTTTATACGTAACGTTCCATGGATTGCATGGTTTTGGGGTTTTGGATACGAGGGATGCGGCTGTGGAAGCTAGCATATGAGGCGTGACCGGTCGGGCGTGTCCGCGGGCATTTGAGGACCCGAATTAGCTGTCCATGGCTGTAGATGCTATTATAAGACAAATAACCTAACTCAATGAGATGGATGACCTAAGTGCTTATGTCAATGTCCTAGATGACACCGCTGCTGATCTCATGTCCTAGGATGACATCATGGCTGATCTCACTATTTTAGACAGGGTTTAATCATACACTAACCATATATCTAGGAATGGTGAAGGGATGGACGTCTATCAGCGAGGTTCACGGAGGAGGGACGGGTCAATTTATGTCCGTGCATGGCTCACAGTTGGGAACAACGACAGAATTTCGCTGGCGCTGGGCAGTTATGACTGCCCGCGGGCTAGGTGTAGTCACCTGCGACCATGATTTGACCCATTTCGGTAAATCGTAAATCTCAATATGGTGAATCGCTTGCTAGGGACGGGGTAAATCAATGCAAATAAGCTCAGTGCCATAGTACACAACCTGGCACACTGAACCACATACCACATTGGACCCCAAAACACCTAGCACGAACTTGCATGAATTCTGACCGGAACTGGCACCCCTTGTTTTATCCGGGAGAATTAATGGAGTTAATTGCACTATATTAATTGAAAAAGTAGGTTGCGTGTGTGTGAGGAGTGCCAAAAGAGGGTGCCTCGGCCGCGTGATACAGCTTGTACACACTACCGCAGATCGAGCGGCTGGTTGTAACGTAAGCTTCTCCTCCCACCCACCCCTCTCCATCTACATCTCCATCTCCATCTCCATCTCCATCTCCTTCTCCATCTGTGGGGAATAATCTTCTCAGTCATCACACCGCGGTAGGGCTGGACAAGTATGACGGGGCAGGCGCCAAGTCTCCTGTTCCGGTTCACCGACACGGAGGTCGCCAAGATGGAGGAGGTCCTCCGTGACCTCAACGCCATGCCCAAGCATCATGTCATCCAGGGCCTCACCGACAATTTGAACGCCTCCCCGGACCGCTCCGGCGACGGCAAGGTCCCTGTCCAGTACAATCAGGTGCTAGGCTTTCCCTCCAAAACCCAAGATCCGCATCCACCCTAGCTATTTCCTTATTCAGATCTATATTATGTGGATTTGTGTTGGGTGGTCGCAGGTGAGGAATTGGTTCCAGAACCGGATGTCCGTGCAGTCCAGGAAGATGATGGTCCCCCCAGTGGCCGAGGAACACCACCCAGTGGCCGGATCTTACTCAGGTGCTGCTTGAATCCCCATCTTAACTTAATAAGCTGTTTATTTCCTTACAATGTAATTAATAACTGCACTGATCTTACAATGTAATAACTGCACTGATCATACAATGTCATAAGCTGTCCACTGGTGGTGCAGAATTTATGCATATCAGTGCTATGCTCCTAATATATGTTGACGCCCATTCGGGAAATTGTACGACACGTGGTTCGTGCGCCATTACTCTTTTGCATGTGAAGCCTGTTGCAATGCTGTCTAGTTAACTTGTTGAAGCCCATTTTGGAAATTACAGGACACGTGGTCTGTGCGCCGTTACTCTTATGCGTGTGAAGCTTATAGTGATGCTATCTCAATAAGTTGTTGACGCATACAGTTAATTTTATGCAGAACTACGGGCAAAAATTACAACCCAGTTTATTTTGATGTGTTTTAGGACTTCATATACAGCCTAGCCTGTACTTTTTTTAGGGCCCTTCAAAACATGTCTTCCCGCTGTCCTAGTCGTTCAAGCTCATTTGGGATATTCCAGGACACGTGATTCGTGGGCCCATTACTTTTATTGAGAACCGCAGGCAAAATTTTGAACTCAAGTTAATGTTGTCGGATTCTAGGACTTTACAGCCTAGCTCATAGTTCTTTGTCTTTGTACGTCCATCAACACTTGTCGCCGTGCGGTCTCAGTCATTGAGGTTCATTTCGGCAATTGCAAGACACGTGGTCCGTGTGCCCTTTATTTAATTCATTCAGAAATCTAGGCCACATGGCGCAATTTTAGTATTTGATGTCTTTCAGAAGATTTTAGTTTTGTAACAGACCAAACATATACCATGTATCTTGTTGATTGTGGATTATTGATACTGTCGTTGCCAATCAGGGAATAGTTCTTCGGATGGTGGCCATGTCCAGTTTGAGGCAAAGTCAGCAAGAAATGGCGCATGGTATGCAGATATATATATACATATTCCATGCTTTCCTCTTTTGTGGCGTTTGATGTCTGTTTTAATTTTCCATATGGGGTAAGTCTGTATGGGGTAGGAGGGTTACTTGCATGAACCTTTCAGTTTTACATGCTTGACCAATTCTTGTTGTTACAGGTACGATGTTGCTGCCTTTATGTCCCACAGGTTCATTGAAACGAGGGACCCGGTAATGACCATAGAACTTTTTGTTAAATAGGATTGATGTTCGTAAATTCATTTCTGCCATTCTTTGTTCAAGTAGTTTGCTAGAGATGATTTCGTTTCTTCTCTGTTTATAGCTGGATGACAGTTGATGTTATAACATTTTGAACACCTGTCTTATCCAACTTTATGGTGTACGAGTCCTATCTAACTTTATGTTATACGAGTCCTGTGTGTAGGGGAAGTATCACTACAAGATAGTACTAATAAGATATTGAATAGTTAAGAAGACATAAAGAATCTTGAGTATTTGCTACTTTAGGCTCATACGGAAAGCTGATACTTGGTGGTATAAAACTTACTTTCACAATCTCTGTGTTTTATCATGTAAAACAAAATATAAATTGAATGTTTCTTTCAATGATTATATAGCTGTGTAGACATGTCAGAGTTTTAGAAAGAAAAAAGTTAGTTCACCCCCTTCAGTTATCATCCTTGAACTGTAGAAATTGAAGCGAATCAAACTACAATGGTGGTTTTCATGACAACTTCGTCATGTACTGAGCGCATTCAGCTGCATGCCACCATGGAACCCCACTCTACCAATCTCATGATCTATAATCAGCATAGGGAAAATAATAGATTTTTATATGGTGTGAACGTGCAATATAACATACCAAAGTGCCTATTTAGGTTCTTGTATTGTACATTTCCTTAAGGAAAGAAGTAAGAGAAATAGTACTGCTAGTTTGCTAGACTGCTAGTTTTCAGACAGTAGATTGCGCGATTGCTGTTTTATTTATCCTCTGATATTTTACCCTATATGAAGAAGGGCATTAATTGTTAGAGATATTGCCACATTACTATTTTGTTAATACTATGGGTATATGGTTATTTTCAAAAACATGGTATCAC